ACCATCTTCCTCACCATCTCTCCCAAAGTAAACGTGGCCATTGCTGCTGAACTGAAGAAATCCAATAAGCTTGAGCAGAACAGGGAGAAGCTGGCTGAGAAACCCAAGTCCAGCCCTAAGAAAGCACTACCAGCTCCCAATTCTGAGCAACAGAAGAAGAAGAAGACTGAAAAGCCTAAGGCACAGAAGCCTCAGTCTCCGCCAGGTGCATCAGAAAAAGATGCATCAGAGAAAGAAGTTCCAGTAGTAGCTGAAAGAGTCACTCCCGTGAAGAAGCCAAGAATGAAGAGAAGAAGAAGAGCTGTCGTTCACAGTGATTCTGATGCCCCTGCTTCTCCCATCAGAGAAATAAAGAAATCAAAGACCAGCTCACCCCCAAAGGAGTCAGAACCTCAAGGGGAACCTACCTCAGAATTGGTTGATGATCAAGCAGCACCTACATCAGAGACTCCTGCTGTAACTGCAGAACCTGCACCAGAGGCTGAAACTCAGGGGGAACTGGTGATTCCCTCTCTGCCTGTTGCTGAGGAATCAACTGTGGTGCCTCCTCCTTCACCAGCAACCTCCCCTGAATCTGATAAGGAGGACACTCTCACTGCTTTGAACAAAGAGTTCAACAGAGTTCTTGAATGGAGGAAATGGAGATTGGGCCCTCTATCCAACATACTGCACCAGTTTGGATTCTACTCTGCTGAAGAGAAGGCGGTATTCAAATGGACTGGCACTGATGATGTCTCCAAGTGCACAGATATTCCGTTTCTGGAGCACATTCTGGCTACAAAGAAGAAGAGCTTCAAAGGGAAAGGGTGTCTATCAACTTCAGCTATGGAGGATGTGGCTTCAGTGGTATCTCCTCTATCTGAGCAAGAGGTTCCGCTCTTTGAGGCATGGCTGACAGAGAGGACAATGAAGGCCTCACTTGAACCAGTTCAGCCAGTTGGTGGACCCTCTGATGCAGAGCTTATCTTTGCAAATCTTATTGCTGATTGGAGACAATCCCAGATACACGAATTTGAGGTAATTCCTGACTCTGACACTCATACTCCTCATCTTGCTCCATCCATTACATCAGAATTACCTCCACCACCTCCCAATTCACGCTCACCAGCACTTACATCACCAAAATCCACTCCACCACCATCTCCTCCATCCTCACACATTTTACCCTCTCCCTCACCGAAGAAAACTACATCCCCACCTCATCAGAAAGCCCCAACTCCCTCACCTCAGAAATCCCCAACTTCTTCACCCAAAAAGCCTTCACCCAAACAACTCTCACCCTGCAATCAACTTACCCCCATCAAAAACCGCTCACCATCACCACCACCATCTCCAAAACAACCAGCAAACCAACCCCCATCTTCTCCCCAGCACCCACCTCTTCAGATCTCATCTTCAGAGCCCTCTCCCCAAGCTCCTCAACAATCAGCCTCTCCTCCAACATCTGTACAAGCTCTCGCCACAAGTCAGGCAACTCCTCAGAGCTTCATGGCTGAAATAGAACATGTGGGACTCCAGCTTGTCAAGGGTATGAATAAAATCCTGGATGCTGAGTATGCTACTGATAATCATCTCACCTCATACAGTGAGAAGCTAGCAGAAGGGATCAATGCACTGCTCAAGAATGTAGGCATTATTGCCATGGCCTTTGATCAGCACAAGGATAAAACAGCTGCGAAACTGGATGAAATCGCTAAGGAAGTGGATGGTGTCAATTCTGTACTGTTCCATCACACTAAAGTCCTTGAAGAACAAGAAAAGGCAATCACGAAGCTAACAGATGTTGTGGATGAAGTTCAATGGTCCGCTGGCAAGGCTAGAGAGGAAATTCAGGGTGTAGAAGGAATGTGCAAGGATACAAAGGAGTTTGCCATCAAGCTTCTTAATTCTGGCAGGGAGAGAGACAACAAACTCACCCTCCTTGAGGCCACAACTAAGGATATTCAAACTGCAGTTGATAAGCAGAAAGAACTAATGGCAGGACTGGCCTCTGTCACTGAGACTCTGCCAGGGACCCTTGAAGCACTGAAAGAAAGTCAAGCCACTGAATTCTCTAAGGTTCAACTCCTTCTTGGTAATCTCGTTGATGCCAAAAAGGGGGAAGATAGCAGAGAACCAGTTAAAGTGATCAGAAATGCAGAAGGGCCAGCAATCAGAGCTACTGGAGGCTCAACCTCCAAACCCACCATCTCCCCTGCTATATATTATGAAAGAGCAAGGCAAAAGAGGCTAGCTGCAGGCATTCAGAGACCCCCTCCTCCTCGCTCCAAGAAAGGGAAGAAAACTTCCTCATTTACTCTGGCTCAATGGCTTAACAGTGACTTAGCCAAACCTGATGCTACCCAGTTCAGAGAAATGAAGAAACATATGACCCCTCTGCAACAAGAGAATCTCATTCTGGATAAAGATGGGCTGATAATCATTAACCATGGTGGCTCAATGCAAGAAGCAGAAGACTGGTGGCGAATGAAAGTGATCCCTGGCAATGACATTTCTGAAGCCATCAGAAACTATCTTGATTGCAAGCTTGAACCTGCTTGGTCAGAATATCAGAATCCCAGGAATCTTGCTACAATCAGAGCCAGGATAAATGCTGATCTGAAGGAAATTGAAGCAAAGGAAGCTCAACTAGAAGAGGAAGATATCTAAACTCTATCCTCTTGTTGCTTTAAATATCTTTTATTAATAAGATAACCTGCTTGCCTCTATTTTGCATGGCAATTTCAAATATGTGCATTATGTCTATGCTCTGATATGTGTTATTTCTTATTTTGCTTATCTGATTGATTGTATCTTACTCTTACTATTTTCCTATGCCAAGTGCCCACCAAGATTCTAAATGAAAGTTTATTTTTAACTTATTTTCCTTCATGGTGAAAGGCACTTCTCTGGAAATAGTTTAAGGGTTTTGGCATCATCAAAAAGGGGGAAATTGTAAGGAATAAATGTAATTAGATTTTGATGATGCTAGGTTATTTAGATTAGAATTTTAAAGTACCCCCAAATTAGATTTCATGTATTAGTATTTTCTGATGTAAGTATTAGTGTAGTCGACAATCAGAGTTGCTCGCTTGTGGATCTGATCAGAGTTGCTCTATGAGAACTGCCTTCAGAGTTGCTCGCTTGTGGATCCGATCAGAGTTACTCTCAGCAGTTCATGAGAGTTACTCATCAGAGAAGCATCAGAGTTCGGCGTATAGCTTCATCAGAACTCAACATCAGACAAGCATCAGAGTTCTCTCACCAGAGCTCGACTTGAAGCTACATCAGAACTACTCTTCAGAAATCCAGCAGAATCCAACGTATCAGAAGACTTCGATCAGAGTCAGACTAACACTTAGAAGAATTTCAAAGCTACTTCCAACGGCTGGGAAATTCATCAACGGCTAGAAGATATTCCGTCCAAGGAAAGTATTTAATGCTCATTAAATAAGCCTGATACGCTTTGGATTGATTGCAAATGATTGACCGAGAAATCTGGAAGATATATTTTAAAATAGAAAGCTTCCAAATCAGTGGGTCAAGTCAACAGTACGCGCATTTAATGCAGTTGTCTCCTCCTCCAACGGGCAGACAACCTCTGTATATAAGCTACAAGCCGAAGAACAGGAAGAGGACACTTTAACGAACTTTTGCTCTGAACTTCATACTACAAGCATTCTTGAGATTCAAACTCCACAACACAAATACAAGAAAAAGCTTACGTTGGGAAGATTCAACTTCACAATCTTTCACCCCCAACAAGAGCAAAGTTCATCCTGTTCTTCAACTCTTCAAGAACTTCATCAAACATCATTTGTGACGAAGCAAGTTGGAGGAAAAACTTTGTTTTTCAAAGGATCTTCTGAAAAGAAGGGCGTCCAAGTAACTGCAGTAGTGAAGTGGTGATACTTCCGGGAAGCTGAGTGAAAGGACCAGCCATCAGGACGTGGAACTGCATCCTGGGTGGCAGCTAGGCTTGAAGAAGGCGTGGAGAACTTCTTAAGTGCTAGGAACTAAGCTTTGTAACCGATCTACTTCAAAGCTAGTGGAACAGTGGACTAGAGGAACGCGTTGTTCCTTGAACCACTATAAAAATATCTGGTGTCATTTAATTTACTGCAACTTATCTTTCTGCAATTAGGACGTTAACTGATTAACTCTAAGACTTGGAATCTGTGTTCAGCAGATCTCGTTTTCAGAGTTATCAGAAAGGCATTTGCCTTAGTGTTTCTGAGGCTACCCGGACAGATCAGAATCCGCTGCCAAGGCCAGTTCTGATATCAGAACCAGCCTTCCTCTGTTACCAGGGTAAGACCTTCTCTGATAAGTCAGTTTGGACTTAGAGAAAAATTTGAAAAACCAATCAGTCTATCCACCCCCCCCCCCCCTCTAGACTGATTACCATTTCATCGGGACCAACAGTTCCTCTCTCGTCCATGCTATATAGTTTATTTTCATACATTAGTTTATACAGTTATATAGTTCACACTACCTACATCTGAAAAGATTTGTCATATTGACTTTTTTTTGTCATATTGACTTTATTGTGATTTAATCATTGTTCCATTTATATTTTTGGAAAGTTTTGTGTGTCAACGTTTATTTACCTTTTACTCACTCAACCGTAACCATAGATATCAAGTTTATCTTCACTTTTGTGATTAAACTTTGATTCAAGTCAAACTGAAAGAATGTTATGAAACAGATGGAGTACTATATATTTCCTTCGTTCTTAAATAAATGCAACAGTCAACATTTCACATTTGTCGAGGCACAACTTTGACCATTAATATATATAATTTTCTATTAGTAAAAAAATTTAAAAAATTAGATTATGAAAATTCACAATGAGACAAATTCAACAATATTTTTTTCAAAAAATATATTAATACAATGTAGTCAAAATAGAGAATGCGAATAGTGTAAAATTCAACATGTTTCATTTATTTAAGAAAGGAGGTAGTATATTTTTATAGTTGTACAATTTATAAATTTTATAGTATCTAGAAATACTATTCATAATAATATTTCATATTAAAAAGTAGCAAGGCGTCAAAGGTACACCCTTTGAGATAATGATAAATACGCTGGCCTCGTTAACCGGTAGATGCAATTCCTTAACTATTAACCAACCATTCCATCCATAACCACACACTTTTACATAAAGATAATCACACTTCCAAACACTCCATAAATTCCACAAATGTCAACTGCTAAAGCACAGTCCACCGGCGGACCGATTCCCGGCGATCCGTTTCCCGGCGATGGCAGCGACATTTGTAAGAAAAAGAAGAAAACGTATCTAGTTATCCTCGCCTCCTTTCTCCTGGTAGCAGTGGTGGCCGGAACCGTGTGTGTCGGTTTATCCCGGGAAAGAATCACCGGCACATCACTTTCTCCGGCAACTCACGCCATTGTGAAATCCTCTTGCAGTAACACCCTCTACCCAGAACTGTGCGTTTCCACCATCGCCACCTCCCCCGCCGCCGGAAAACATAAAATCACCAGCCGGAAGGACGTCATCCGGCTGTCGTTAAACATCACCGTCACGACGGTGGAGCACAACTTCTTCACCATTGAGAAGATCGTCAACACGACAGGCGGAAGACTGACGCCGCGTGAGCGGACGGCGTTGCACGATTGCCTGGAGATGGTGGGGGAGACCCTGGACGAGCTCCACCAGGCCGCCGTCGATCTTGAAAATTACCCGGCGGCGAATAAATCGCTCAAGCTTCACGCCGACGACCTGAAGACTCTGATGAGCTCCGCCATTACCAACCAGGAAAGCTGCGTGGACGGGTTCTCGCACGACGGCGCCGACGAGAGCGTGCGCGAAGCTTTATCAGCCGGTCTGAGTCACGTGGAAAAAATGTGCAGCAATGCTCTTGCAATGACAAAGAACATGATCGATGCCGATATTGAAGAACAGATGAAACTGGTACTGAAATTTATCAACTTTGATTTGATAATTAAGACCCATTTTATCATGTTTAAAAAAAAAGACCCATTTAATCATAATAATTAACTGAAATTTATTTGATCCCTGATTTTAGGATTTAATATGAATTCTTAGTGTTTGAATACTCCCCCTTAGACAAAAAATTTGACATGCTTTCTTTTCGGGATAAACAAAATATTTAAAAGTTTGTTATATTTTCCTTTTCACATAGAAGTTTACTAGACTTTCATCTTTTAGTTAATTTTGAATCATTCAAGTTTTAAACTGATATATTTCATGATTTAAGTTCCAGATGGATAGTTTATCTATGTTTTAAGTCCTGAATTGATTACTTTCATCAGTTTTGACAAGTAGAAAGGTTAAATAAGTTTAGTGTTATTGGGAAGGTAGTTGTGAAAGTAATTATAACTAAATTATCAAGTGAGAGTGAACATCTACATTAACTTCAATTAATAAAGGTAGCTCGAATCTTATCTTTTCTTATTACATCGTATTACATAATTGAGCGTGTAAAATCTAAAGTTGTGTCTTTAATGAAAAAATGGATTGATAAAACTGATAAACAAAAAACTGATCACCAAAGAGGTTCTTAATATAATACGGAGTAGGGTGTTTTGAACTTTTTGACAAGTTATTAAATGCAAGTTTGAACAGATTGATCTGTAAAGTTGAATGTATATTGGTGGGTCTATGACTTACTCTGTATTATTTAAGTGTGATTAGTGTTATATACGGAATATTTATTTGACATTAGTGTCAACATTATTTGTCCTTGTCCACAGTCGAGAACCACCAATCGGAAGCTGAAAGAAGTGAGCGGCGTAAGCGAATGGCCGGAATGGTTATCAACTCAAAACAGGAAACTGCTGCAGTCGGTAACGGTGACGCCGGATGTCGTGGTGGCTGCGGACGGAAGCGGTAATTATACAACGGTGTCAGAGGCGGTGGAGAATGCGCCTGAGAAGAGTGAGGTAAGGTACGTAATAAGGATCAAGGCAGGGGTATACCACGAAAATGTGGAGGTGCCCAAGAAGAAAACAAACATTATGTTCATTGGAGATGGAAGAACCACCACTATCATCACCGGAAATCGCAGCGTGGTCGGCACCAACAGCACCACATTCCATTCCGCCACCGTCGGTAAGTTGAATTAAACGAGTAAGGATGTTTTTACCTAGAGCCCGTTTGGCAACACTAAAATTGGCTGTATTGGCTGATTCTGCTGAAATTTATGAAGTTATGGCTGAAGTGGCTGTATTGGCTGATTCTACTGATTCATGAAAAAAATATATTTAAAATATTTGTTATTAATAAATAAAATAAAAAATTATATGAAAAAATAGCTAAAATGATCCTCTACAGTAACTTCAGCCAATACAGCCAGAAAAGTAACTTCAACCTTACTTTTTCTGCTTATTACAAAATTCAGCGCGCGAAATCAAAGGTTATGTGTTTGGTGAAAAAGCTGGCTGATAAGCCTGATAAGCCGAAAAAAGGGGTTACCAAACGGGCTCTTAAATTGTTTTTAATTTCAAACTATAGCAACATTAACTAGATCAAATAAGTTCAAACCATCTTAAACTAATTCAGACTAGATCAGATTTAAAAGGATTAAGCTCAATTAAAAATGTCATTCCCAGAGTCATGTAGTCAATAAAATGTCATATAAATACATCTACTTATAAAAAATAATCAGATGAGTCCTAACAACCTGATGACAACCTCTGCTCCTAATCCCGATTTTAGCTTACGTGTCGTTATTTTTGTCTTGTAATTAAGCCAATCTTTGCTAAATATTTCACATCAACCTTATAATTTATTTTGAATAGATACCCAGATGTAATCTAAAACCGGTATTATGAGATTGTCAAAAGATTGTTAGGACTCATCCGATTGTTTTTTATAAATAGACATAGAAGACCTTCATTTTCTCCGAAAATATGTTACCCTCTGTGTCCCGTTAGAAGGTTACAACTTTCCTTTTTTGGACGTCCCGCTAGAAGGTTCTCATTTTCATTTTAGGAAACAATTAACAATCTTAAGTGACAAATTAGTCATTAAATATTACAAATAATGCATTTATAACATCATAGTTATCAATATTAACACATTATAATATGTACCTATTAAAATTATTTTTCAAAATATATCCGAAATATTTATTTAATTATCACATAAATAACCGTGTCGTTTTGTTATGTGAACCTCTCCTACGACGTAGTAATTCATTTGAAATGAAATTTGGGTAGGAATAATAAAAGCCCCCCTAAATACTCATGAAATTGTGAAGTACGGAGTACTATCGTACTGTATAGATCGCAATTAAATAGAGAGTGGGAAAACTCGAGGAGTGTTTGCAGTTGATTAAAAAAAGCACTTTTTAGTTTTTGGTTTAAAAAAAATTTAAAAGAGTGTTTTCAAATAACAGCTTCTGCTTAAATTAATTACTTAAAAGCTAAAAGCTAGAAGCAGGTGGAAAGGTGTTTTAAACTGCTTTTCACTTTTTCTATTACACAAAAAGTACTTATTTTACCAAACACTACCAACTTTTACTTTTTCAGAATCACTTTTTTCTCAAACACTACCAATTTTTTACTATTAATCATTTTTTCTCAAATCACTTTAAAAAATCACTTTTTTAAAGTTGAAGCAATCGCAAACACTCCTTCAATCAGATCCGAAGCTGTCGAGATGGTAATAGTCCAAAGAACAGTGCACAGTACTCGCATGGTCCATGTTTTTCAGACCTGGGTAGAAGTCTCGTCATCAATCATCGTGTTAGATTCGTATAGGGACAGATCAGGAACCTCTTTTTTCATGCTTGTAATTTGAATTTGAATTCCAAAATTTAAGAGGGAGTTATGCTCTTGGATTTTTTGTCGAGGTTACATTTGCATTTCATTTTACATTTCACTTTTAAAACTTTGAAGAAAGAGGAAAATTTATATTTGCAAGGTACGACCAATTCTATTCTAGAGAGAAAATTTGATTTTATGGTTTAGATCGTATTTAACTTTAAATCATATTTTAAAAAATCATTAATTTGTGCATTCTATCCACCCTAAAATTGTCAAGGAACGGATAAAAAGTCAAAAAAAAAATAATGGATTGATAATGCATACATTAATGATTTTGGAAATAATGTGTATAGCAAAATATCATCTCAAAAGTGTGGTGCAAAGTTGAGTTTCGTCAAGTATCTTGTGATCTAATATCATTATCGCCAATCTTCCAAAAAGGAATCATAGGTTTTCAGTTTCATTCCAATAAAAAACATTAACATTAAAACGAACAGATACTATAATAGGTGTAGAAAATTATTTCAAAAAGAAATCCCAATTAGTAGCATATTTTATGCATAAATCTCTATCATACCATTTCTATGTTATTATTCTCGATATCCATTTAATTAAACTTAGGCAGGATGTCACCTAAGTTATTTAACAAGGCCAAATAAGCGTGGACCACAATTACTTCTCTACACTAAATTAATAAGAAAACATGACCAAAAATATATTTTTACTTCAAAGAATTGTTTTTTCCTACTCGACTTTACCCTTCATGTGGCTATGCTGGATTGCTGGGTGCATTCCAAATTCCAATCCGATCACGTACAATAATGTTATTCTCTGCAAAGGACGCGGTTGTGAAGTGGGGCGGTGACCCACGATGCCTTTGTTACTTTTGTTTTCAATTATTGGCTTAAAAATAACTTTAATCATTGATTGTAATAAATTTAATAAGTACTCCGTGTATGTCACGTTTGGCACGAGGAAATGTGGTAAATCATTCGTTTAAACATGAGTAGGCCAACAGGGTCGACGGCTGATATCCTTTTTAATGATTATTATTGCCTGTGATTGCGCTCTGTTAATCCCTTTTTGGTACATAACAAACTCCTTTTCAACTTTTTACTTTTTTTTAACTCGTTTTCAACTTTTTACTTTTTAACTCGTTTTCAACTTTTTACTGGTGCGACAACTTTTGAGTTAGGAAATGTGGAAAATCATTAATGATTATTATTAACCTGTTGGATTGCTTTTAATTCTAGACCAGATCACATTTAGATATTTATGAAATACACACAAGACAAAAATTTATTGAAACTCATTCCAAATAAAAACATCCTTAATACGTGTTCATATTTTACCTACTAACCACTGGTCATCTAAAATTACAGCTGCGTTTGGAGCGGGATTCTACGCGCGAGACCTAACCTTCGAGAACTCGGCCGGCCACGAGAACCACCAGGCGGTGGCACTCCGGGTCGGGTCCGATCTATCGGCATTCTATAGATGTGACATCCTCGGTTACCAGGACACCCTCTACGTCCACTCCAACCGTCAGTTCTTCATTGAATGCCTCGTCGCCGGCACCGTCGATTTCATCTTCGGAAACGGGGCGGTGGTGCTTCAGAACTGCGACATCCACGCCCGACTTCCCGGTGACGGCCAGAAGAACATGATAACCGCCCAAGGGAGAAAAGACCCGAACCAGAACACCGGAATTGTGATCCAGAACAGCAGAATCGGAGCGACATCCAATTTGAAACCTGTCCAGAAGGATTTCCCGACGTATCTTGGCCGTCCATGGAAGGAATTTTCAAGGACTGTGATTATGCAGAGTTCGATCAGTGACGTCGTCCACCCGGCGGGCTGGCATGAATGGGCCGGGGATTTCGCGCTCAAAACGTTATTTTACGGCGAGTATATGAACACCGGAGTTGGAGCAAATACATCTCAGAGAGTCAATTGGGAAGGGTATAAAGTTATCACCGACGCCAGTGAGGCGGAGGAGTACACGCCGGAGTCGTTCATCGCCGGTGGCACGTGGTTAAATGGAACTGGGTTCCCTTATTCGTTGGGCCTCTGAGAATGACCCGGCCCGTATACATCCGATTCGATCTGCATATGCCTAGTTAATTATACCCACGTGGTCCACTTATAATTTTTCATTATTATTTTATCTCCTTGTGTAATTCAATTCAATTTTATCATTTATCATCATACTCTAAAACGGAGTAATAAGAACACAATCAAGACTGTATGGTACTATGGTCTACGATGAGCTCATATTTCATAGTATTCATAAAATTATCCTCTGTAGGATTAATGTATATGTATCTTTTCCACATGTAAGAAAAGAATACGCTAATGAATGCAATTTTTATTCCTTTTAAAATAATTCTAGTGTATGGATGTTTTTACTTGGACTGTAATTTGCTGGTCTGGTTTGATCTGGTCTAATCTGAACTGGTCTGGCATGATCCGGTCTGATTTGGGACTAATTACAGTCCAACTAAAACATCCTATGTCACCTATTGAGTATTGACCACCTACGTTTTTCTATTCATGAAACTTGTCTTTTTAATAAGGAATTTACATTTTTTAATACTCCTTCCGTCCTTAATAATTTTGTCAAGTTTGAGCGACACGAGGATTAATAAAGTAAGAATTTGGCTATAATCCATGTAGACACAACTACACAGTCTACACGAATACTATATACTCCTTCCTTCCCCTTTTAAATATTCCGTTTTACTATATTAAGATATCCCTATTTAGTTGTCCTATAACTTATTTGGTAAAATTTGTGTAACTCAAAATCATTTTTACTTTATTGTTACTTTATCAATTAATACCAACCACACAAACATACTTTTTTTAGAACTCGTAACACCCTCTTTCGGGACATTTAAAAGGGGGCGGAGGGAGTATACTTCTTCATAGTTAGTACTCTCCCGTCGCTTATAACTTTTCCAACTTCCCCTTTTTGGATGTCCCATTAACTTTGCACTTTCCCTTTTAAGTAAAGAATTTGTGATTAGAGTTAATGCATGAACAACTATCAATACATGAAATAACATTAGGGAATTGAAAGTCAGTGTGCGTTTAATGTTGTAAGAAATTATTATTTGAGTAAACTAAAAGAATAAAAATCCAGGAAATGGGGCAAGAAGCCCCCTGAAATTATCACTAAAGTTGATCTATGCGACTATGCCCTTAAACTTTCTTTTTGGGCAAATATCTTTAAAATCCCTTGTGGGAGGGCAATTGACCCCTTGACTTCACGGTAAATCAATTTGAGAGCACTAGCAACTTAGCAAGTAGCAACCGTTAATTTTACTCCTTTCAATTAATTTTATTTATTTATTTATTAACAATTCTTGTAAACACCATGCAAAAAAAATTAATCTTGTAAATTAATATAAATATAAATATAAATAAAACAATTAGAAAAGAACTACTCCATATAGCCATTAGAGCCCATTTTATATGGCAATGGCAAAATCGAATTAGGGTCCTAGCACTTTATATTTTGATATAAAATTATGAAATATGAAAAAGACTAATTTTGTATTGTCACGTACGGAGTAATATTTACCTTTTTTTTACCATATAAAACCCTTTTGGTAGCATATGATTCCGCTTATTAATCAATCTTTTAGTTATACTTTTTTAAACAGGCCATTTTATTGAAATTGTTTAATAATAAAAACAAGTGAGAATAACCAAACATTCCAACCCAGCTGATTGTGAAGTTACTGTGCCTAAAGGGAGGTCTCGAGTTCGAAATCCGCTAGGCACATAAGGGTTCGAAACTCAATAGAGTGAGTTCCAGAAAGAGTCGGATGAAAAGCTAAAATAGCTAACTTTAAACAACTCGAATTAATTTAACCAAAAAATTAATTTCAAAGTCACTTATTTTTATTATTAAACAATTTAGCTAAAATGGCCGGTTCCGGTTTAATATAATTTGACAAAAACATTGACGGATTAGTCAAACTATATGCTACCAAATGGGTTGTAAGTGGTAAAAACTAGAGTAAAAATTAGATGACAACACAAAAATAGTCTATTTATATTTGAAATAATTACATAAATATGACTAAAATAAAAATGATTTTCAAAAATGCGACTAGTGATTAGAGTAATAATGAAATCATAGTAATTTATGTTCAATTTTTGAACTTAGGTTACTATGACACTAAATTTTAGTAACTAATAGTTATATTTGTGTAAAAAATTATTTTAGTAATACTTTTGTAAAAAATCCTTTATATTTCCCACTACGTAATATTTATATCACAATAAAAGGGCTTTAAAAAAAGGAACTAATTCAATTTTACCTTATCAAATGGGCTCTAAGCGTTATATGGAGTAATTGTTTCGAATTGTTTTATTCATATATCAATTAATTTAAAAGATTAGTTAATAAATACTCCGTATATAAAATTAATTGAAAGGAACAAGATTAATGGTTGCTAATGCTCTAAATTGGTTTACCGTGAATCGAGGGGCTAATTGCTCCCTGTAAGAGATTTTAAAGATATTTGCCCCAAAAAAAAGTTCAAGGGCATAGATCAACTTGGGTGACAACTTCATGGGACTTTTTGCCCCTTTTCCCTAAAAATCCCAAAGGAGAAAACCTAACGGCAGATGGCCGGACCTAGTGTTTTGGGGGTGCGCACACTACTAGATTTTTCATCAGTTGCTGCACCTCTATTGTTGCGGTCATAAGCACATTCGCAACAACAAGTTAAGATTTTACACTATTAGCGGCGGTCATCAAGCAATCGCAGCAATTATTCTGAAAAACTTGATTATTAGTTGCGGGTATACGAGAAACGCAGCAATTGTTCAAAAAAATTAGAACTATTTGCGGCGGATGAATAGATACCGCATCAATAAATTTGGAAAAATTGGATAACCCTACTCGCATCCGCTGAAACGAATTGAACGGCCTCCATTTTCATTCCAGCAGCGGGCGCCCAAGTTAAATTCCAGCCGCAAAGTCGCCATCATCTCCGTATCCAAGTCTCCGCCGTCGCAGTCTCATTAGGCAAACCCCTGCCTCCTCCGTCAACTCTACCGCTTCCAGCTGCGGCCGCCACGCGCCGAACGCCCGACTAAGCCGGCCCCCTCCCAGTAGCTTCTACCTTCTCCGGCACATCATTACTTAGTACAGGTTTAGTTTACAACCATTTGTCATATCATTCAATTTATTCAATTTTATCATTTTTTAGATTATTATTTCTATGAATTAATTGGTAAAATTGAAGTTTATGTTTAATGAAATTGATATTGCTGAGTATGCATTTCAAGCTATTGTGTTTCAATATATGATTACATTTATGATTTTATGTTGTCTGCTTGCTGTCACTCTGGATTTTTGACTAAAGGTGTTGAATCTCATTTGAATCGTTACACTTGCATTGTTGATCTATTGGGGCGATTGGGTAAGGTTAAAGAGGACCTGACTATGGTAATGAAACTGACCGTTTTACCACACAACAGGATTTGGTCTGTCCTCCTTTGCGAGGGTGTAACTGTCAGAAAGTTGCAAAATATGCTTGTCAAAGGATTCTAATAATTCTGGATACTACACTTTGTATAGCAATGTTCAAGCTAGTGTTGAAAGGTGGGATGGAGTTAAAGAAACCGGGCTGGAGCTGTATAGAAGCTTTAGGTGATAGATCACTTCCTCAAGGAAAGCAAATACACGAGGTGTATCATAAATTTTTCACACATTATTGCTTGATAGTTTTTTGCTTTCTTTATTATAATGGGAAAGGTCATATCTGCTTGGAAAAAAAAACTATTTTGCATATCAATCCGGTAAAGCTTGATTCTATATATATGCTTGGTAAGACTACATTATTAAGTGAATGATTGTTTTTTTTTGACAGCGAGTGAATGATTGTTGAATCTTCAGAAAAAAGATTATTGTGAACAGAAAAGCTTTGCAGTTATGGTGTTTATCATTACGATTCTTTTCAACTTCCAGTTACACTGCTTTCTAAACTATGCTTTAAAGTGAATCTGTGAGGTAAATTCACAATTATGTCTGTGGGTCTGCCATTGTTTCTTGTAGATCTCCAGAAAATCAAGAACAAAATCAACAACAACCATTAAGTGACATGTAGATGACTAAATGACTACATCAATAAAATAAACAACAATTGTTGAGAGTATTCTTCTATAATTATTTGTGATCATTATTTATGTTGCACGGCTGAAATATTCAAATAGTTTTCCAAAAACAAGGTTCTCTCTAAGGTGCAATAGAAAGATGAACAACCAGGGAATCAAATCTTCACTTTCAATATCAGGAAAATCACCAGGGATGTCAAAAGGTATTGAGCTACTTCAGTATATTATAACTAGTTGTCTTCAGTGAGATGTAGCCTCTGTTTTGAATTTTTTATTTTACCAATATATAATGCATAAACGGCACAATCTGTTTTTTATATACATGCTAAAATCTTTGAAGGGCGATGTTACAATTTCCATCATTCAGACAAGTTATGTGGTAGTTTTTCACATATAGCTCATGTTAATATCCTCTTAAAATTATATATTCTTAACTACCATTTTTCAACTAACGGTAGTTTTTGTAGTTTGAAAAAAATAGTGCTACGTATTATTTTACTACATAGTTTTATTAAAAGTTAGTGTAACTTAATGATTTATTGATTTCATAAAAGTTTAATATTACATTTCTATGAAGTTATAAAATTAGTATGATGCTTATGTTAATAAAAAATTCATGAGTATATATTGGACTCTCGTGAGCAAAGATCTCGAGAATAATTAATAAGACATAATAACGCATTTAGCCTTAAATTGTTATTATTACCTCTGCTCATGTTTACCCATTCAAATTCTTTGATGTCTCATTTCATTTTGAGGAATTCAAACAGTGTCTATTAATTATCACTTATTGTAAAGTTACTATATCATCATTGATTTAATGATTTACTTGTTGATAGTTGATACTATAAATCATTCAAAGTGATTATGTACCGATTGGAGTTTCTTAATATTTCAGGTTTACAAGAGCACCCTAAGAGATGAGGCGTTGTCAAAGGATAAAAATGCTCAACTATACTATACATAAATAATAAAAAATTGTATTCCAAGATTATACTCGTAACTATTTATTCTATTGGATGTGTAGCATATTTTTGTAATATTTGATGAATGATACGTAGTGCGAGTATTATATTGTTAGTGATCCGTTATGTACCTTCCAGAATGATTGATTAATGATTATTGATGATATTACTCCGTACTTTGTGTAAAAGCATGTCAGTTGTCCACTATGAGAAAAAAATAGTTGATATAGTTATTTATAACCGGTTGTGCTAAAATGAATTAATAAAAAATAAAATTGATTTTGTG